TTAAAAACAAAGCTTTAAGATAATTATCACCATCTAGGGACTTTTGGGCAGGTAAAGTAATCCTGTGTGCATGACTGGGCCATGAGGTGAGGTTCAGTTAAATCTTCAAGAAGCCTCTGAATCAATTCCACAACTAAAGTTATTAATACAATCAGGGAGGCGGGGAGAAAAGCGCGTGGAAGTAAGGGATACGTGTCTTGGAAGAGAGAACTGGCGCTGGAAGTGAGGAAAGCAGGCGGCGGGAGCACTTCTGTCCTGGGGAACAGCAGGAAGGTCACTGGAGGCCAGGGGGTGGGGGGTTGGCCCCATCCTGTGATCAGGGGAGCCCAAGGACTCTCCAAGTCTACACCACCGGGCTCTTCCAAGTGAAGTATGGCAGGCAGACAATGAACAGTGAGGAAACACCGAAATGGTGACAGTTGCAGGAATGTCAGCTGGACTTTATGTCATCACCAAAGATAAAATAAGAGCAACTCTTGGTTTTGTTTTGCAGATGATAGAATTTTCCAACGAATTTCTAAGGATTGGAACTTTCTGTGACATGACATCTTTCGCACCAAGGAAAATTTTTTAATTTTTATTTACTTATTTATTTTTTGTCTTTTTGAGACAGGATTTCACTGTATAGTTCAGGCTGGTCCTGAACTCACTTTGTAACCCAGGTTGGCCTTGAACTCTCAGTGATTTTTCTGCCTCAGCCTTCCAGGTGATGGGATTACAGGCCTGTTAGTCATTTAAAAAGAAAAAAAAATGTGGCTTTCTTGTGCCTGGAACTATGCTAGATTCAGGGGACATAAAATGACTTAGGAAGGACAAAGAAAGAAAAGTCCATCTCTAAAGCCCTGTAGCTTGCTCTTTTCGATGACATTTGTCAAAAAGAGAATCAGAAGGCCGGCAATATTACCACTTAGAAGGACACTAAAGTGGGCCATGGTGGTGCACACCTGTAATCTCAGCACTTGGGAAGCTGAGGCAGGAGGATAGCTACGAGTTCAAGGCCAGCCTGGGCTACATAGAGACCCCATCAAATCCCTTTTCTCTTTCTTCCCTAACTTGCCATAATAATAGGCAAATCCACTGTCTCTCAGGGTCAGAGTCAGAGGGGTAACATGTTGAAAAAGGACTAAGACCCTCGAAAGGTAGATTCTGATGGCCCTGTTCTGTTCAGTTATAGCACAGTGAAAGCCCAATTAGTGTGAAACATTTGAAACGCAGAGTAGTAGCTTAAAAATGATGGTGTTGTGATGCTGATTCCTGCTTAGCTTGGAAATTAATGTCAAATTAGTGAGTTTCAACTGGGAATGACTTTGTTCCCAGGGGATATTTAGCAAGGTCTGGAAACATCACAGTTGTCACCAGAGGGAGGCATGGTCCTGGGCTCTAGGGGATCATTGAGACAGTCACACTGTGCAGCTCCTAAAGGATGCTCAGGACAGTCCCCAAAACAATGTCATTTTGGCTCCAATATTCAGTTAAAAATACCAGTGAGGAGCTGGGTGTGGTAGTGCATGCCTCTAATCCCAGCTCCTGGGAGGCTGAAGCAGGAGAATCATTATGGGTTCGAAACCAACCTGGGCTACAAAGTGAGCCCAAAGCCAGCCTGAACCGCATAGTGAGACCCTGTCTCAAAAAGGCAAAACAAAGCAAAACCAAACCAGTGAGACTAAGAAATCCTGTGCTTAGCCATGAGTACTAAATCACTTTCTAGTAAGGACAAGCATCACTTTGTAATGCCTGAATTAGCCTCCTAGGTCATAATGTCATAGCTTCTCTGAGAGTAAACTCCTAGCCTAGTTCCAATTTTTTTCTCTGATAGATAATGTTACCATGGGCACTTTCACTCACATTTTTTTTCTGCTGAATTATTTCCTTCAGTTAAATTTCCGCAACTCAGAATTCCTGAATCAATGGGTATGAATGCTTCTCCACGTTTCATCAGCCAGCTTGTCATTCTGCTCTACAAGGGGATTGAGCCAAATTACAATCCCCTACAGGAAGGGAGCACCAGCGGTTAGCATTATGAAATATGGAGGGGGGCACAGACCCCAAATACGAAATGGTACACACAGTTCATGTCAATATGCTTTTATTTTTTATTTTTTTTTAATTATTTATTTATTTTTATTTATTACATTTATTTATTGTGTGTGTGTGTGGCCAGCTCAGCCCACCAGGGGGCAGGGCTGGCTGGCATGTGGCGCTGGGGGATCGAACCCTGGTCCCTGTGCTTTGCCAAGCTTGTTTCAAGTAGGTGCTTTAGACCACTGAGCCATCTCTCCAGCCCCGTCAATATGCTTTTAAATTGCTCTTCAGAATGAATATTTTCCACATTTCATAGTTCTATTATTTTTAGAAGTATGCATTGTTTATGGTTTTTGCTTATTTTTCTGAGTTTCAATGTCCTTTTAAAATTAAATGTAATTTCACTGAGTAGGGACCGTAATACAAAGTTGATGAAATTACTGTACTTTTCTCCTGTCCCTGCACAGATCATGTTAGTATTTCCTTCTGGAATTTTAATGTACAGTTTTAATATTCTCTTTAGGTGTTGGTCACCCTACCCCACCTTCAGCACCTCCTTGGAGGCCCGGGGGAAGAAGGCATCTATGGAGATTGATGTCAGCGACCCAGGAAGGGCGCGACGCTGGACACAAGGGGCTTGGGAGCGGGAGGACCCGCCCTGAAGAAAGGGCACCATCCCTTCAGGACTTCGGAGCTGGCAAAGCTCCCTCCACAAGCAGCTATTAATATGCAAAAATCGCCTTCATAAATACTTGATTCTGCTCACAGTGGGGAGGCCGTGCATTTGAAAGCGGAAATGGGAGCTTGGACGTGAGTCACGTCTGCTTGTCTCCTTTTTTCCTTGCTCTTTTCATCTCCACGTTTCTCGTTGCACTTCTCTTCCCCCCTTTCCTCTCCGAGCCGGAGGAGGCTGCAGGGGATGCCGGCCTCCCGCCCGCCTGGACCCAGCCCGCCGGCAGGGGGCGCTGACCGCACTGAACTCCCAGCCCAGTTCTGCGACTCCTGCCCGGTGGCGAGACCAGAGACTCCCCCTCCGAGCCGCTCCGCCTCCGCCAGCCTTGTGGTTTAGCACTGCGAAAGTGGCCTGCGTCCCCGGCCACCCGGAGGGAGGAGGGCAGGAGGGCAGCATGCAGTCCCGCTGGTGCCCCCGGGTCGTTCTGCGCGCCCGGTGCTCTGCCAGGGGCCCATCAAGGTGGTAACGAGTCTATGGGGCTGACATTTGTTGTAATCCTTTCCAGATGCTTTAGAGTAAACACGATATTAGTCATTTGCATGCAGTAGGCTGAGGAAGTAGTTAAAGTGAAGCCTGTGGTTAATCTCATAGAAGACCATAGGCAAGGCAAGGACGCCCCTCCCTACCTCGCTTTCCCAGTTTTCCAGAGGTCTGGGCTTCCCGCACCTGCGCTCTAATGGCTTCTCTTTCCTTCCAAGGAGTGAAGGAGGGAAAAATGCCTGACGTTAACAAACCCGCTGTTTTGGCAGGAGCCACCCCCTCACTTTACTAAAGGGCCGCAGGCAGGACAGCCTGCCCCACCTGGAGGGCAACTGGGATCCGAGCAAAGGCCTGCCCTGGGGTCAGGCGCCCTTCTCTCTGTCAAGTTCATATTCACTCTAGGACTTTCTTTGATCCCTCTGGCCTCCTGAGGTATATAGCACAGGGCTGTGTGAACACAGTCTGTTTAGGTTGTTTCATGGCCTTGAGGTGGGAAATTACCAAAAGATACCACATTAGTTTCCTTAGTCACAGATTCTCTTGTTTAAGTAAATGTTCCAGATCTCTTTCTATAATGGAGATCTTGGAAGCAGGCATTTAAAATTAGGCAAGGTGGTGCACACTTGTAATCCCAGCACTCCTGAGGCAGGAGGATCGCTATGAGTCTGTGGCCAGCGTGGTGGACTATGTAGTGTAGTTCATGGCCACCCTGAACTACATAGTGAGTTCAAAACAAAACCAAAACCCATTAAAAGAGAAGCACTCAAGAAATGACAGTGTGGATTCTAAGGTTCCTCAGTAGCAGGAGGGGGCAGCCAGCTGTTTGACCTCAGAAGATGTCTGAACCCAGGCTTGCCCAGAGCAGGTGTTGAGGAAAACAAAACTGTTTTTATTGTTATCTTTAATGAGTGGTGATACAGGGATGTGACCCAGAAAGCCAGGGCAGGGCTGGAAGCTGGGGGTAAGGGAGATCAATGCTCAGGGGCTGTCGCATGCAGGAAGAGCCCAAGGGTCCCCATAACCCTGTCTGCATGCTGCGTGGAGTTCAACTCTGGGAATCCAGCTGAAGCCAGCCCCAACCTCAGAGCATAGATGGAAGGAACAAACTTGTAGACAGTCCTGCACGTATGTCCTTAACCACTAATATATATTCCTAGCCATGTGGAGAAAGCCTTTTCCTGTCATCATGACTATCCTTGTGTTTTTTTCTTGATTGCTGACTTTTTTTTCTCCCCGTTAGAAATGGAAATCTGTGGGCTGGCCAAATAGCTCGGTGGATTAAAGCACCTACTTAGGCAGATGAAGAGGCCAGGGTTGGATTCTTGGTGTTGTGCTGGCCCCGCCCTCAGGGCGTGCTGAGCCGTTGATTGAGACTGGGCGTGGTGGTGCACCCTGTAATCTACGTAGTGAGACCCTGTAGACCCTTACTAAAAAAATACAAAAATAAAATAAATACAAATTAAAAACAAAGGAAAAGAAATGAAAATCTGTGCCTTCCTCTTAGTGGATGACACTGTTTGGGGCTTTCTTCTTCCTGTCTGGCTTTGCAGCAGTCAGGCAAAGGCTCAGTTTCCTCATACACATGAAGAGCTGGGCAATGTCACCGAGCTGAGTTGAGACGTGCTAGATCTGTCATGTGCCAGTCTGCTCCACTCCTCTTACTGGTTAGACCACCGAGGCTCAGAGAGGTGGGGAGTCCCACTTAGGGTTACATAGCAAGCTGAGAAAAGAACCCAAGATTTGATGCCCTGAGTCAGAACTATACCTGCTTCTCTGTCGTTTGTGTCAAAGGTAAGCTTTCATGAAGATTCATGTGAAGATTGGTCCTGGCTGCAGTATTAGCTGTGGTAAGAATGAGAAAGAAAAACAATCAAGGTTGTCAGAACTAAGGCTCATGAATGTCTACATGTGCCTTATACTCCACACGTAGTTCAGCTGGGTGAGAGACTATAAACACATTTACCTCTATGGCATTAGTAGTGTAGCAGATCAGGCGCAGGACACCATGGTTCAGTCCCCAGCTCCACATGCCTCACCAGACCTTCCCTTAAGGTAGTCTGGGCACGGGGGCGCACCCCTGTAATCCCAGTGCTGGGGAGGCTGACACAGGAGGATCACTACGAGCCCGAGCTGCGTAGTGAGACTTTGTACCAAATAAATAAATAAAAGATTTAAAAAAAAAACCCAACTGGCCAATGTGGTGCATGGTCACTAAGGTACACATTATATAAACCAAGCCCCCATTGGCAAACCATTCTGCCTCTGTACTTCCTTCTTGCTTATCCCATATAAGCCCTAGACCCCCAGAGATCAGGGCCTAATCTTTTGGGAATGATTCCAGTCAGTGCCCATCACCATGAATAAACCTGCCTCCAAATCCTGGGTGTCATTTTGGTGTTTCTGCTTGCCGTTCCAGTACTCACTCCCCAGGTGACACCCATGTGCTCTGCAGGCCCAGATTAAACACCATGTTAAATATAATGGGAAGACCTTATGTTCAAATTTAGATTTTTATTGTTTCGGTTGCTCTTTAAAAGAACAAAAGTAATTTCTTTGTGCTATTAAAATTCAGATAAAACTGAAATTAAAAAGGAAATATTGATGGCAAAAATCTGCTGATGCTGTTGAATATAAATTTTGTATGATCACACTCTGCTGAAGTAGAAAAATGCTTCTGCCAGCTTCCAGATGGAGATCAGAGACTTCCCTTTCCCTTGTAATGGGAGAGGTGATACCAGCAGGAGACTAGGGTAGGGCTGCAGGAGGGGCTCCTGGGCATCCTGGAGCCTGTCTGTGGCAGGTGCCACACAGGGTGGGCCTGGTGTGGACCTGCAGTTCCTGTGACACTTGTGGAGCACCCTGGTGACACCCTGGTGTCCTGGGACACCCTGGTGTTACCAGGGTGCTCCACAAGTTAGGAGACTGGAAAAGTAGTCACTCAGCCCTGGTTGTGGAACTACTGAAATTTGGAGGAAGGGTTTGTCTAGACCCAAAAATTCCACATGGCTAATGGATTTCTTCTTTTCTCCTCCCTGAGGAAGTAACTGTAATACTTATAAAGAAATGTTTGAGGAATCCATTTGTCTAAGCACGTGGTTTTATTGTCAAGGACTTTAATCTCTTCTATGGGCTCAGTGTTCAACAAAAAGTTCTTCCTAGTAATGGTACTCACAAGGGGTTCTTTTAAAAAGAGCTAACAGCTATCTATGACTCTGGATCTTTGTCTTTTTGACCTGAAGGTGGCACTTACCCTTTGTGGGCTGACTTTCCCCTTTCTGTGGTTTCTCTTCTGTCTTACTTGAATATAGCTTCTGCATAGTCTTAGGACATTTATTTTAAAAATTAACTTGGGAGAAACTGAGGCCCAGGCAGTAGTCTTATGCAGCTGGCTCTGGGCTGTGCCTTGGGATAGCATTAGAACTTGAACCAGGAGCAGATGTTAGCCTCAGTGTCTGTGCTTTCCCTCTGCATCCTGCTGCCTCCCCTCAGACTTGCTGAACTTGCCCCACACAGCTGCCTGGCTGCAGGCCACTCTCTGCAGAGACCCAGCCCAGCAGAACCGCCCTGTGATGAGGTTCACTTCACTGAGGCTTGGAAAGAGCCCTGGGTCACTCAGAAATGAAGCTTATAAATTCTAATGCAGGGGGGAAGTTCTTGCAACACCAGGAGAATGAATCGGTCAGCCAGAGTTCAAGAAATGTAAACATATTTTCAGATAGGAGACTGAAAAATAGCTTAGGATTTCTCATCTTTTGGGTCAAGATCTTGGTAATTTATTGAGGTGCAAGCTGTCAACGGGGAGACACAACTTTAGTGGTGTTCCTGGGTCATAAAGCAATGGGGGTGAGAGAGCTCCTTCTTGTAATAATATGCTAAGAGTTGTGCTTGCTAGTAAGTCAAATTGCCCCCATTGACCATGAGATGGATGCAAACACAGTGTTGGAGCCTCCTCCTTGCCGAGGAACTGATGTGACAGTCATAGTACCATACGGTGCTGCTTTTAGGCACCGCTGAAGCTGGCACCTCAGACTTTCTGGGATGTACTGCTCTGCCACTGAAGAGATAAACAGAAATGCATTCTTCGCTCGGCTGCCCACCATCAGGCCTAGCAGATTTTCAAACACCAGCTTAATCTCACTGCAGGCTTTTAGTGAGGAGATAGCACTGCCACCAGATAACTAGGCCACCTCGGAGGTGACCCTGCCAGATGGGGTCTCATCTCAACCTCTCTTGCCTTTTTCACATCCTGGGATCCTTCACCAAACACTCAAAACTTGAAAAGCAGGAAAGAGCGTCTGATTCTAGCATGGGCTGTGGCACCTTCAACTTTCCTACTATTTCAGTCTGTGTTGACAATGTTTACTTTCCAAGTTGTTTTAAAGGGAAATGAAATATAGTCAAATTTACTCCCATTGTTGCCAAGTGTTTATTTCTGTAGATATAGTAAGCTCTGGTCAGTTCTATCTGATACCAAACTAGAAAATTCACTCCCAAGAAGTCACTGTATCAGGCCAGCAGGGCCACCCATCTTCTTCTTAGATGCGTGTCAGGACCTGGTGAAGACATGGACCCCGTTGGCTGTGAAGTGGCCAGATGTCCTGTGGTTGCAGAGGCATGGCTACTTGAGTGGCCAGCAGGGGCCTCTTGACATCTATTGAGGATCTTTTCCCACACATCATTTCTCAAGGACCCTTAGTGCTTTTGGGGACCTCCTTCCCCATGTGCCATGTCTTAGCACCCAGAAGGGGATATGTGCACTGCAAACAGCTTAGAAAGCCTCTGCTATCCTATGCCTTCGTCCATGGACTTGCTGGCCCCAGCCTGAAAGTGGGCCTTGGTACTTTCGTGGGTTTGTGTTTTTTGTCATAAATGGAAAATGTAAATGCAAATTCTAGAGTATTAAATTTTTTTTCCTGCAGTATAAACCTAACTATAAAAGGAAAGATAATTATGGTCTAGTTGACCTTTCCATAAAAAAAAAAAAAAAAATCTAAAAATACTTCATGTGATGTGACTCAGGATGCCTGTGACCTATAGAGTGTTTGCAGTGTTATAATAAATTTTAATCTGCTTGTTTAATGCAGGAGACTGAGACCTAAGATGGCCTTTTGGTATTGTCATTATCAAATTCTTGGGACAAGATTTAAGACTGTTTATGTTACACATTTTCCCTTTCAGTCTTCCTGGATTAGGAGAAGGATGAGAAAGGCATAGCAGGCTGTTGTTGGAGATCTGAAATGATCTTAGGGTCAAACTTGCCCCAGGGGCTCTTGCTGAGGAGTTAGGCACACAGATCTAGGATATCTGAGTCAGTCTGAATTTAAATGCAGAAGGGCCTAGCAAAGGTGAGGGCGATATTTTCCTTCCAACCTGATATAACAGCCCTTTTACTTCCATCTTCTTAGACCAAGAGTAGCTAGGTCTCAAGGGTCTGGCTTTAGTTTTGGGAATGCCAAGTTCTCTCAAAAGCTCGTAAATTGTATTTTATGAAGAAGTCCAAGGGCACATGGAAGTCTCCCAAGACCAAAGTGGAAGCCAAGCTGAATGATGGGATTGAAATTTAAATTGTGTAGCAACAAAGCATCAACTACATAAGAAGCCTTTCAGGATAGCACAAGCTCATAAGGGAACTTGTGGCAGAGGAACATGGGAGGAGGGAATTAAACTTCGAGCTGAAGGTGGATCAATGTACAAAGCAAGCAGGTGAATCAATTCAACTGATGATGTCAACTTTCTAGAAAATATTGGTCTTGGTCTTGAGTGCTTGTTCATAAATGCCATTGCCTTGGCCGCCCGCCTCTAGTCTGCCAAGGCTGATCCATTCTCCATGTAGGGAGGAGAGCTGCCCTTTAATGTAAAACCTGGCTATGGCAGTTCCTACATAAGTAGAATCCCACAGCCCTTGGGTTAAATCCCTTAGTTGTCACCATGGCCCTCCATAGTCTAGTTTTTACCTACTTCTTGGTGTGCCCTCCCACTCTTCCCACATGTGACATGGGGTGCTCCTTAGAGTTCTTTCATGTTTCTCCTTGCTGCGGGGTCCTCTGCCTTCATGGGGTCCCTTTCCTCAAGGTAGTTCTTTGTGTGGGCATTTCCTACACTCACTCTTAGAGATTCTATTCAAGTGCTGTCTCTATTGCAAAGACTTTCCAACCTCCAAGCTGAGTTGGAGCTATTCATTCACAGCCCTCAACTCATTGCATACCATGGTCTACAAAGCACCAACATTGTCTCTAAATGATTTTTGTGCCTAGCATAATGTTTGCTGCTCAGGGAGCTGAGCCAGGAGGATCACCATGAGTTCGAGGTCAGCCTAGGCTCCCTAGGGAATGCAAAGCCAGTTTGAACTATACGGCATGACCTGGTCTCAAAACAATATTTTTTGTTGATAGTAGATGTTGGACTAGTGTTTACTAAGTGAATGAATGAACAAATAGGTGATCTCTCTGTGCTTTGTAAAACAGAGTAGTTCTTTCTGTTTGATATGTTCTGATGCTCATGGCTATGTTGATTTTCAAATGAGGAATTATGGGGGGAATAAAAAATGGCAAATTCTTAGGCTACAGAGAAGGTGTGAAAGAAGTAAAAGTGACAGAGATCAGAGCAGAAGAAAAGTGCCCAAGGAGAACCTTATGCTTCTTTATGGCTGTTTTGGCTGAGAAGAAAACAAAATACTTAAAAAAAAAAAAAAAAGAAAGAAAGAAAGAAAACAAAATACTTGAAGGGTGATGAAATAGAAAACAGTATTTCTAGAATACAGGTTAATGAAAGTTGCAATTTTTTGGCCTCCCTGTGGAAGAAAAATTAATATTTTGAGCTTTATTGTAGTTTACCAATATAGCTTTCTCTATGTCTGTCTCTCTCTGTCACTGTCTCTCTCTTTGTCTCTCTCTCTCCCCCCATCTCTCTCTCACATACGCAATCTAAAAATCCATACCAGCCTTAAAATGCACTGTGCCAAATGCAGGGCCTTGGCCTTTGGCGAATATTGTGCATCGTGTGAACAACAGACCATGGCTGTCGAGAGGACACATCTTGAGAATTTTAGGAATCTTCAGATTCGTGAATGCCCCTAGTGTACATTGTGTCCCCGATAAAACTGATGCAGTGTTGCAAAACAAGGGAGCGTTCTTCAGACTGTTATTAGTGAGTATAAATAAAGGCATACAGTGATTTATAAAACTATTATTTTGAAGCTGGGCATGATGGTGTGCCTCTAATGCCGCCACTTGGGAGGCTGAGGAAGGAGGATCATGACTTTAAGTGTAGCTTGGGCTATGTAGTGAGTTCCTGGCCAGCCTAGACTACATAGCAGACCCTGTCTCAAAAAAATTATCAGAACAAACAAAAAATTGTCTTTGTAGCATAGCCTTATCTTATTGTTAGACAAGGGGCAGGGGAGATGGCTCAGTAGAATAAGCACTTCCCTGGCAAGCGCAAGGGCCTGAGTTCAATCCCCGGTTCCGCAAAAAAAAAAAAAAAAAAAAAAAAAAATTATTAGACAAGTTCACTTTCTCTTTCTGTCATCACCAGCCCCTGTAGCTGCCTTCTGTGTGTGTGCATATCTGTATTTACATGGATATACATGTTCATATGTGCTTGTGTATGTGTATGTATTTGTGTATATTATATGTGCATGTTACATACATATGCATGCATGTGTTCGTGTATTCATATTGTGTACATGTATATGTGTCTGTACATGGATATATGTGTATATCTGTATGAACCACAACTCTTCTTTTTGTTTTTAAAATCTATTTATTTATTTAATTAGTACAGGGTTTCACTATGCAGCTTAGACTCTTAGTGATCCTCCTGTCTCAGCCTCCCCAGTGCTGGGATTACAGGCCTGTGCAACCATGCTCAGTCTTGGTGGCCAGCATGGGGCACTCAGGGATCTGGGGCTGGCATGGCATGTGGTAGCAGGGATCAAACCTGGGTCCTTGTGCTTGCCAGGCAAGCGCTTAGACCACTGAGCTATCTCCCCAGTGCCAGCATTTCTTTATTGAATCCAGCTGCACCAGAGCTATTGCAGGTGTTGCCATGAACACAGAGCGCAGTGCTGAGGTGTGGGTACAGGGAAGTCAGTTGGGTCACCCGCTAGTTTAGTATATGTGCTGCTGAAGTGAGCATTCACGTGCTAGTTTAGTGATGATTGTCTCTGGGCCTTGCAAGGCTATGATATTGACCTCAGGCCTCTGTAAAATGGGCAAATTGTATGTGTCCCTGACTTTCTTTACAAGTAATTTTCAAGGAGTTTAAACTCACTTTCGAGCTTACAAATGCTAGGGCTGGCCAAATAGCTTAGCGGATTAAAGCACCTGCAAGGAGGCACAGGGGCCAGGGGTTCAATCCCCGGGCCTGCAATGCCAGCCCTGCCCCTGGGGCCGCTGAGATGGCAATTGAGACTGGGCTGGTGGTACATGCCTGTAATCCTAGCACTTTGGAGGCTGTAAACAGGCAGGTCACTAGTAGTGAGACCCTAAACACCCTGTAGACCCTTCCCTAAAGTAAAAGAAAAATACCAAAAAGAAAAAAAAAAAGCTTATAAATGCTCATCAAGTCCATCATCTATTTAATGTTTTTGGAAGCCTATCATTTTTCTCTAAAAATATTCATTAAAACAAAATGATTGGGCTGGGGAGATAGCTCAGCAGCATAAGTGCCTCCCTGGCAAGTACCAGTTCTTGAGTTTGGTCCCTGGCACCAAAAAAAAAAAAAAAAAAAAAAAAAAGACCAAAAAGAAAGAAGTGAAGACAGCTCTAGAGGTGATTCCAAGGAATAGATTTTTATTTTATTTTTATTTATATTTATTTATTTATTTTTTGAGACAGGCTCTTGCACTACAGTTTATGAAATGTAGGCAGCTTATGTTAACAGTCTTGTACCAGCTACTGGTATGCTTGTGTGTCCCTGCTTTTAGAAGGTTTGCAATCTAAACTGAATATGGTGGTACATACCTGTAATCCCAACACGCAGGAGACTGAGGCAAGATTATCACAAATTTGAGGACAGCCTGGGTGGCATAGTGAGAACAACAACAACAGCAACAACAACCATCAGGGTTGGGGATGTAGCTCAGTGTGAAGACTCTGGGTTCAACCCTGACTATTGCAATAAACAAATGACCCCAGGCTTGAAAATAAAGCAATGTATCGAGTCTACAGTCTCATAGCTACTAGGAACAAAGAGGGATGATCATAAAATTTCCTTCTCCTTCCTGAATATAGAGCTTTCCCTGGTACCCACCATTTCTATGTCTGTACTTTCCTGCTTCTCATACCCACTTTGTACATGTTAACCTTCATCTGTTCTTTGAAGCCCTCTGGGACCCTCCACAGGTCAGGCATGTTTCAACTGTGAAACTCTACTTATTTCCAAATTACTTACCTGTGTTTCCACCCATATCAGAACTTTTAGTCCTTCTGAGAATAGCTGTTCTGACCAGCTGGATTGTAAGAGGAAAGCTAACTGGTTAAATTTTTACTGGAGTATAATAGATTACATGTTAGTTTCTCACGGGTAGCAGTATTTTAACAGGATGCTTCCTAATCCAAAGTAAATATTTTGTGGGTGAGATTTTAATAGTAGAATGAAATGAGATTGTACCATTTTAGGGTATATTTGGAATATTTTTGGTTTGGAGAATTACCCTGTAAAGCAGGCCTACCTTTCTCACAAACTCTTTTTCAGATTTTCCTTTTTTTTCCGTAATATTTCTGTAAGTTACAAATCATTTTCAGTACTGCTCACAAGAGAGTATCTGGTTCCAAGAAAGGGGAATTGGAAGGGGAAATGAAAGTTCAACAGGTGCCGCCTCTTGAGAGGGGTCATTATTAAGTCATGTTGTCCGGTGCAAATGTCTGCTTATGTTGACTGCACTAGTAACTACACATAGCAGGAAAATGCAAGTTCAAATTCTAGCTTTGCCACTTTGTGTAACACTAGGCAAGTCAGTTAGCCTTTCTGAGCAATGGTGTCTTGTGGGAGAAGTGGATAATGATATCATTACCATGAAGATGAAGTAAACGTTCATTAATTGTAATGTAAAACACTCAGTGCAGTGTTTGGCATGTCTGATAAGACATATGGCATGTCTGATAAGACATATTTAATAGTAGTTGTCATCCTTATCACCACTACCACCACCACTGTACACTATTATCACTACCACTCTGACCATTACCATAAGCACCACTACCATCACCACCATCACCACCGCCACCTTCACTATCATTACCATCATCACCATCATCATCACAACTATCACCACCACCATCTTCAGTAGACAACTGCTCTGTAATTTGATCTCCTGCACCACAAAACAAACAAACAAACAAACAAACAAACAAACACAAAGCAACAAAACCAAGCCTGCCCTGCCCATGTTCAAACTGATGTGTGAAAATGAGCAAACTGACACTGAATCTCTTCCCACTGAGGCCCTGCTGTGTGTGCCCAAGGAAGATGGCAGGAGGGTCGTGCAGAAGGCCAGACTTACAGGTATTTATTTTTTGCATACAGACTTTGAGACTGCCAAGGATATGACTGTATCCTTTCTCCTACTTTTGAAATCTCTGGCAAAAGCAATTCTCTCCACCCAGCTCTGGCTCCAGCCCTCTCTCTGTTGCTTCCCGTTACCAGGGCAGGTCCCGCATACAGGATTCACAGCTGCCTCTCCCAAATGAACAGCAAGGAGGACCACACACATTTCCCTGTTAATTAGAGACTGTTTTTAGGCACACGAGAGAGCCTCTCCTTGAGCACTCTTTCCTCTTAGTCTGAAGCAGTAACAGCCATGTCTGTGGGGGAAAGACGAGGTACAAAGTTTTAAATCTCTTGGGCTGTGGAGAAAGTTTGGTGGCCTAAGCGCCTGCCTGGCAAGTGCAAGGCCCCGGATTTGATTCCTGGTGCTGTGTGTGGTGGCACAAGCCTGTAATCCCAGCACTGGGGAGGTTGAGCTAGGAGGATCACTATGAGTCTGAGCTATATAATGAGACCCTGTACCAAATAAACAAGCTAGTTTTTAGAACATTTTTTAAAAGTTCCTCTATGGGGGAAATGTAGGCTAAAAGGAATCTTGGGAGAGGCAGAACTGACCTTAGTCTTTCACTTGAAATAAGAGTCAGAAGGCCTTTTCCACTAGCCCTTCAGTTTGTGGCTGTGCAGGCTGAGGCTGTGTACAGCTCTAGGGGGCAGTGCTACTTCCCTCTCTTGAGACCTGTGCAGAGTCTGGGCCCACAGGTCAGCTCTGCAAATTATCCTTCCTTGGCCAGGTAGGTATGAGTATTTAGTTCAAGCTGACTTTGTTTCTTCCCTAGTATTTATTCTCAGATCTGAGCACATGGGGCTGCCTAAGAGCACCTCACAAGAACTCCACATGTCTCAGGCTTTCCCTGAAGTACACCCCACTCCCTACTTCCTTCGGGGCACAGTGTGTGTTCCTGGAGGTCCAGCCATGAAACATGTCTGTGAGTCCAACGATACAGAAAGAAGTCAAGGTGACTTTAGAGAAATGCTTACCTTTTAGGAGGTGTTGAATACCAGGCCCTCCTTCTTCCTGGATGATATTTGATTGGACAGATTCATATACTGAAAAACAATAAGAGATTTTACCTGAGTATGAAAAATTAAAAAAAAATCAGTTTCCTTAACCCTAAACTGGAGAAAAATACCAAGTGTATTCTTCAATGTTTAAGACTAGAGGTGGCAGTGAGAGGAGAGGAAGGACACATAAAAGATGTGCTATAGGGGCTGGGGAGATGGCTCAGTGGAATAAGCGCTTCCCTGGCAAGCGCAAGGGCCTGAGTTCAATCCTCGGTAAAAAAAAAAAAAAAAAAAAAAAAGATGTGCTATGTACAGGTACCAACTCAGTGCAGTGTGGGTTTTCATTATGTACTGCAAACATGTAGTAATAAAAATGAAAATTCAAAGAGATTCACATTGAATTGAATGGTTTTGAGAATCTATACATTCTATTATAGAGAGAAGATTTTTTTAAAAACTAAGGAATATGCTGTTTTTATCTAAGATGCTTTAGGTGAAACCCTGCAGAGCCCATGACCCTGAAAATCTGCATGGTGAACTATAAACAGAGCCAGAGCGTGACACAGTCAGTGGCTGACATGTGCTGGGAAGAGATTCCCCCAAGTGAAGAGCAGATGCGCCGTGTGGGGACTGCATGTCACAGCCACCAGGGTGACCAACAGGCAAACAGCCTGGGTCCTTCCACAAGTGGGGTGGATTGCACCAGGCAGAGAGGAGAGCTCTCAGGCCATCTGATTCCCCCAAGAATGACAGACAGGCTTGTGCACAGCACATGATGCAACTCCTTGTGATCTGCTAGTTACCTGGAGTGACAAATATTCTCCTTGCTGTCTTTGTCAATCAAAATGAAAACAAGTTAAAACAATGCCGTTTTAATGAGAAGAAGGATGACAGATGTGAGAAAGACAGTTCAGGGAGCGGTAACAGTGAGGAAGCCCAATGAGTTGATCCTGAATGGAGAATAGTTTTTAAAGGGAAATTTGGTGTGTGTGTGTGTGTGTGTGTGTGTGTGTGTGTGTGTGTGTGTTTGTGTGTGGTGTGTGTGTGTGTGTGTGTGTGTGTGTATGTGCATGCATGAACAAGAGAAAGAGAGAGAGAGACAGACAGGCGGAGACAGAGACACAGAGACAGAGACACACAGAGACAGACAGAGACAGAGAGAAAGTCACAGGAATCCTAGAAATTCAAACTGGAAAAGATTTAGATCATCTAGGCAAATTACCCAGCCAAACACTTTCATTTCTTTATTTATTTTTAACTCATTGTCTCATTACTGATCATAAATATACTAGAGAATTTGCCATAAAAGATTGTTTGAATTTTATTGATTTTCTGAGGTGCATGGGGCTGAGAAAAGCCTACTTAGCTGCACACACACACACACACACACACACACACACACACCCCTACCAGAGGCTACACAGGCAACCTGGGATTCTGAGAGCCAACAGTGAAGGCAAAAAAAAAAGCTATAATTAGTGTTAATTGTTGACCCCACAGTTCAAGAATAGATGCTCTGGAGAATGGAAAATGAGAACAAACGTTAATTATTGAGTAGGGACCTTGGAGACAGACACTCTGGATTAAAAGGAGAGAGATAAATTGCATAATGAATGTTAAGTTTCCCTCCAAGAATTGAGTGGTCGGTGGTTTAGAGGAAAAAGAGGCTAGAATAGCCCTGAAAGAGAAACTTCCATGAGCATCTGGGTGAGAGGGTAGAAGGGGGTTCAGGCAGGCTTTCCACCACTACCCAGCTGCCCTTTGCCTCCTCTCTCCCACAGAATCTGCTCTGGGCTTTTCCCTAGAACTCCTCTGTTGTCACAGTTGTTTGCTAGGGTGAGGAGCTACTTCCTCTGCAGCACTGCCCACCTGGTGAGTGAGGAGAGTCACACCAAGCTAGGATGCTTCCTGCGCTCGTGGGAGGGGGACTGGGAATGAGGGAGGCCCCACCTGGCCCTGTGGGTGCTGCTGCTGCTGGAGCACACGGGCTCCAGGACTCTAATTGTTGTTTTATCTTAATTACAATACATGGGAGACACACACATTCCTCTGCCCCCAGTTACTTCTTAACTGAAAGCAAAAACAGTATAAAGATAATTGCAGCCAATTTTGTAGACTTCACATACGGCTGCTCATTGTGGGCTTTGATTTCACAGTGCTGGTTGACGTCCCCCCATCCAGGCAGTGGCCCTTGATCTCCCCTTTTTGAGATCTGCCATGTCTTCCCACCCAGTGCCTTCTGTCCCAGCTCTTGTTAACTGTCTTGTCCCAAAGATTTTCTGGTAGCTGGAGCTCTCTGCCTTTTCTCTTGCCTATTTTTCACCCTGGCACACATGCTGGCTTGCATGGCATTCCTTGTGCCTAAAGACAGCATTCAGCTATACCCTGGCACATAATGCTTTCTCTAGTCTATTTCCCCTGGGGCCCCTTCCACAGTGCACCCCCACTGGCCACTGCTCCTTCTAAGCAAGTCACCCTCCTGTGTTATAATTCCCTTGCCTATGACATGAGAATGACAATACTTCATAGGATGATGGAGTGAAGGAATGAGATGACATGTTCATGTTCAATGTCAACACAATATTACCATCCTCCTGTGTCCCTTGAATATGGCAGGTGTTCTGTACATTGTAGTGAAGGAGTGAAATATATATAGGGTATAGCTGAATGCTGTCTTTAGGCACGAGGAATGTCATGCAAATATATATATGTAGTGCCTTCTTTCTTTTAGGGTTCACGATACTTCATTTTGAAACTTAACTTGTCCTGTATTAGATCCAGGGCAAGCATGAGCTAGTTGGATTTTCACAGGTCAACATGGTGTAGATTGCTAGTGATTACATCCAGTCTTATTTTAAAATATGGCAGATGCTGCTGTCACGTATCATCCAACAGAAAGGCAGGGATCTTCAGTGTATGATGTGGCATCTTGAATCTTTTGAGACTTTGCTATGCAGTTCAAACTGGTTTTGAACTCATTTTGTAGTCCAGGCTGGCTTCAAATTCACAGCAAATCTCCTGCCTCAGCCTCCTAAGTGCTAAGGTGATAGTGTATACGTTACTTCTAATCACGTCTCTGGTTAAAACTTAGTCATGTAGCCATATCTAGCTGCAAGGGATGCTGGGAAACACAACCCAGTTTTGTGTTCTGCTAAAATTCAAGGATAGAAGTTATGTTAATAAAAAGAATTATTGAAGAATGAATATTAGGGAACATTAAAGTCTCGATTATTTATAGCTTCAATCAATATTTATCAACACTGCTCTGTGAGTACCAACTGTATTTTCTAAAATATTCCCTAGATGACAGGAGTTTACTTATAGGAATTTAAATTTAAATTTAGAATAAAAAATTTTCAAAAGTTAAAATAAAATTTTTAAAGAGAAGGAATGCCTGGTAAGAGGCTCAGGCAGACATAATGGTAGAACCTAAGTGGGTAGCAATCAATGTGTGTAATAGTCAGGCCAGGTGTCACTATGAAAGGGAGATTTCAGCTGGTGCTCAAAGCCAGGAAACATAGACAAGAGGGGCTAGAGGCAGTGTGAAGTGATAGGATGATCTTAGACCTGATAGTGCAGGAATATTAATGTGAACTTTGGACTTCCCATATAAAAATTGTATGGCTTTGAGCAAATCATATTTTCTGTGTCTTAATTCTCTTATCCATAACATGAGTTTCCAAACTGTGGTCTCCTGTTTCTGGTTGCCCTGCGTGAACACTCTCTTGGCCCCATTAAGATACATCTTAGGAAGAGAAGAGTTATCTGAGCTGTGGAGACATCAGGAGGCACATAATCAGACTATTTCCACTTCTTCAGGTAGTTTACTTTTACCTGTTGGTATCCTACTGAATCTGAGGAAATGCTTTCTTTGCTGGTATGACACCTATCACTGGTGATGCCCACACTCTCTCCTGACTTTTAGGTTCTCCAATAAGAACAAAGGCAGGGGAGGTAGAATTCTTAGCATCACCAGCTCTGTAAAAATGTATCATAATATGCCAACTATAAAGAGAAATTAGCTATGGTTCAACATTTGATTGAACTTGTTCTTCAACAATAAAATTTCTAGTAGACTCAGAGCCAACTATTACTTTCTTCTTCATAAAGTAGTGATGAGGCCACCTTTTAGCCAAGTAAAGGTGGGGGTCTTTGGCTTTATGGGAATTACAAGAGGTTTGAAGAAAGGAGAGTCCTTAGCATCTGTTAGGAGCTCTCACTGGTGGTTATCTGAGCACTATTCAGTGTGGATTGTGAGGGAAAGAACCCTCCTTCTTTATGAAGTCTGGGACAAACCCAGCTGTTGTGGCCACTGTTCTACAAGCACTCAACATTGTTATATGTGTGAGAGACCTAACAGAGCCCATGCTCAGACTGATGTGAATCACCCATGACTTTGTCAGGGAGAACTTATAGGGACAATTCAGTGTGGAATAGAACCATCCATCTTGTACAGCAATTAACCACTAAGAAGAATATATGCAGTGTATTATTTGTTGAAACTGTACTTCCGATTTGATTTGAAACTGTCTCATTGCTATCTGTTTATCAATAAAACTTTAAAAAAAAAAGAACCATCCAGGTGTTTTAGGAAAAAACAGGGTTACCATGACAACTGCTCTTCCATGTGCTCAGGCCTCACAGGCTCAGCCCCAGCCTATAGAGACACACTTGGGGCTCCAAATCTCATGCAACCACATTTAATTAGCAGAAGGCCTTTTTATTTTTTTATTTATTTCTTATTATATATTTTTTTTTTTATAGAAGACTATTTTCATCCAGCTCCCTCTCTGAAAACATTATGTGGGAAATGTAGTTTCCAGCCTTCTGGCGTCTGCAGTACAGGGAAGCCTACTAGAAGGAAATGCTGGATGTCCAACCATCTCCAGTCACATTTTCTCTATTCATACACTTGATGCAAGATCAGTAGAACTGGTAACATCTGCCAACATCATTTCTTATGGGTTATTAGCAAACACTGATTGGGCAAAAGAACACAGCAAATCATTACCACGTGGGCTCCTTCTACCTTCCTCTACGTCTCC